ATCCAAATCAGCACTTCCGACAGACCTAGTGACAAAACAAGAACAAGGAGATCTGGGGAGCTTTCCTAGCTTTGGGGAAAACAACTGTGTCTCTCACAGCATCCTGAATTAACACACGCCCCCTTTTGTAACTGCAGGGTCCCTCAGGAGCACTGGGGGTGTGCATGCTGGTTGGCTATTGTAGGCTCACCACAGACCACTTCCTCCCATCCCATCCTACATCCAGCTCCGCAGAAGAATCATCCAAGTAACAAGACTGGGGGTGGGGTTCCACGGTGAACAACAGAAAATCCCTCAGACACACAGATATAGAAAATGATGAAATGCATAGCTAGTACTGACTTTTGCACCAGAGCCGAGACCAAAGAGAAATTACATCACACACACACGCACACACACACACACACACTCTCTCTCTCTCTCTCTCTCTCTTTAACAGGGGACTGTCCATTGTGATCCACACAATTAATTGTCTCCCAGTTACTGAGAGGAGAAGGAGTGGATGTGGTGTATTGGTAGAACTAGTTACTTCCCGCCTTTCCTCTACCTGCCTATCCATCCCTCATGCTTGTCTCTCTCTAGTCTATCTACAAAAGGTACTCCATCTATCACAGAAGGATATAAGCACATCTCATGGGTGTCTGAGCAACTTCTTCCGAGTGTCTGTGTAACCCAGTTGACCACACTCACCACATCCCATAAACATCACTTACTTCACTGGAACTAAATCCCAAATCCACGTCTCAGGGAAATACTTCCGGATGGTCTCCACTGGGCCATGAGCGATGATGGGATACAAATGATCGGGGATGTGCTCGAAATGGGAGAAATCCATCAGTCCAGCTGTCGCAAATGTATGTGTGGCAAGGGGAGAGAGGACATAATGTGTTAGACCTTATTCTAAATTATGGCACTTTGTTTCCAGTTAGTGATAGGCCTGATCCTAAACCCTAGATCTAATAACCCTTCCTCATAAACTTCAGCCATGTTCAGACCCAAACTTAGACCTGTCTCAGCTTGCAACCAATTATTCTCTTCCGCACGCCACTCCCAGCGTCATCATCTTTTTAGAACCTTTTTCAAAGCCATTGAAAAAACATCTCTATTGCCCTATTGTGATCTCAAACTGTTTGCTTTCTAAAGACTTCTGCACCCGTTACAGGGGTGGGATGGATGGATGGACATATTTATTCCCCCACCTCCAATCCCAGAGTGCATGGGAAGCCCAGAAGTAATGACTGTGTTGAAGTATCCCCTAGAGCCCTGCCTATATCCACTTCAATATGGAATCAGCCTGTGGAACTCACTGCCCCAAGACATTATAGATGCAGTAGCTAAGTCAGATTCACAGGGGAAAAAAATGTTTTTGTATATGACTAAGAGCAGCAGCAACACTAGTGACACCAGCTAGGATTCACAGGATCGGGGATATCAGTCATCGTGCATCAGGATACAAGTTGATAAGAAGCCATAGGCCAGGAAGAAATTTGCCCCACAGTACTGCACAGTGAGGTGTATTACCAAGGTTTTCCACCTTACCCGGAAGCAACCACCATTGGCCACTGTCTGAAGAGGGATCCTGCACTAAAAAGACGACAGTGCTGATCCAATATGGTCAGGAGGCAGGACACTGACATATATAGACCAGTAGTCTGATGTTCTACAGTAGGAATGGGGACATTGGATTAGAGGGTCAGTAATTGGATCTGGTTACTCTTCATTTTCACTAGTGTAACTGAGAGCATAATTAACACTAATATTTAGCCATCTAATCTCAGAGCTCTTCACAAGGCTGTGTAAGTATAATTAGTCCCCTTTTACAGACAGGAATATTAAGGCACAAAGAAGTGAAATGATTCATTCAAGTTCAAGTTGATGGAAGAGCTGAGAATGGAGTACAGATTTCCTGCTTCCCAATCCTAAACTCTCCCCGTGGGTTCACACTCCCTCCCCATTGAACCTGGCTCTCTTTCTGCTTAGGTTTTTCTCTAGCACTTGCTGGAAGGTGAAAACCTGGAAGCGGAAATTGTCCTGTTCCAGGTTGAGAGAGCTGCAACCAAAGTCAACAAGATTTAGCAGCCGTTTTGTGCCAGTGCAGCAAATCTACATTAGGGGGTGCAAGCTGCCACTGCATCAGTGTAGTTACAACAGTGCATATTTCCTTAGCTGGTGGAAGGTTAGCCAGCAGGTGGAGCAAGCAGGTAGGTGAGCAAGCAGGTGGAAATGGACCAGATTCCTATTTCAGGACTGACGTTAGTGGATTTTGGCCAGCATAGCTGAGATCAGAATCTGGTCCAATTGGTCTAATTTCCATGCAGAGGAGAGGGTGAAAGGGAGGGCAGCAGGAAACGCACCTAACGGGGGGTATAAGCAGGGTAAAACAAAGCAAGTTCTTTTACTGCCATTACCAGCCACGGGAGGTACATATGTTCTACTGTACATTCTCTCCATGCAGAGTCTGGGCTTCTGGACCTTGGTGCTTGTGAAGACTTTTAAACCCATCGCCTGTAAAAAGATAACCCAGACAGCCATGTGGTAAAGTAAACCATACGTCGGGAGATAAACATGCCATCTGGACTGGATCGGGTTCTGATGGGCTTATCACAGTGCAGGGATGGGTCATTGCAAGAGCAGACACTAAGGCCTGAGAGGTCAATGCCAGAGTGGCTGGTGGGAAGCGAAGGGCGAGGTCTAGGTCAGTGAAAGGC